GGGGGAGGCCCAACACGGGCATTTTTACCACGCCCTGGGAGGGTTCTCAGAATTTCTGGGGGGGGTAAAAATTGACACCCCTCACGCAGATCCGCAGTGTAAGGGTCCCAAAATACAGAGGATGTGTCACATGTTTGACCTTGAGTGGCACCCCTCACGCAGATCGGCGGGGTCAGGGTCCAAAATCACAAAAAGGATTTGCCACATTTCTCAAATTCGGTGGCACCCCTCACGCAGATCGGCGGGGTCAGGGTCCAAAAAACATATGGGATTTGCAACATATTCCAAAATTCGGTGGCACCCCTCACGCAGATCGGCGGGGTCAGGGTCCAAAAACAAAAAGGATTGGTCACATTTCTAGAAAGTTTGCTGGCACCCCTCACGCAGTTCGGCGGGGTCAGAGTCCAAAATGAAAAAGAATGTGTTGCCACATTTCTGAAATTTGCTAGCACCCCTCACGCAGATCGGCGGGGTCAGGGTGCAAAAACAAATACGATTTGCCACATTTCTGGAATTCGGTGGCGCCCCTCACGCAGATCGGCGGGGTCAGGGTCAAAAAACACAAGGGATTTGCCACATTTCTGAAATTCGGTGGCGCCTTTCACGCAGATCGGCAGGGTCAGGGTCCCAAAACAATAAGGATTTGCCACATTTCTGAAATTCGACGGCACCCCTCACGCTGATCGGCAGGGTCAGGGTCCAACAACACGAGGGATTTGCCACATTTCTGAAATCCGGCGGCACCCCTCACGCAGATCCGTAGGGTCAGGGTCAAATCATCCTGGCGACGGACCCAACCATATGCAGTTGTGGGTACCGCAATAGTGAATATTTCCCAACCAACCTGTGTTGTTGGGTCCTCGTTTTGAAGAGACGGTCCCCGCGTTCTCCTCTCCTCTCCTCCTCCCCCTCCTCCCCCCTCCCAACATCATCATCGTCATCATCACCCGTTTTAGTCTTACTGTACACGGATGGGGTGGGTGAGGTGGACGGAGGGGAAGATGATGAAGTGATGAACGGAGAGGCGGGAGGGCGGGCGGGCGGCGGGCGGGAGGGCGGCGGGCGGGTCGGGATTTGAATCGATTCCCTAAGGATTCTCTCTTGAAGCGGGAGACTGTTGGGTGTTGTCTTGAAGAAGGGGGGCTGTTGAATACTAGGTGTTGCCTTGGAGGCGCAGGCTGTTGAGTGCAAGGTGGCGCGTGCTACGCGGAAGGCGGGCGGGCGGGCGGGCCGCGGGCGGGTGGCGGGTGGGGATTCGAGGGGATTCATTTAGGGTGCTCTCTTGAAGCGGGACCTTGTTGCGTAATGGGTGTTGCCTTGAAGACGGGGGCTGTTGACTGCAGGGCAGCTTTTAATACATAGGATTTAAACAATATTTGATTTTCTATACATGATTAATTAATGAAAAAGTATGCACGACATCGTCGTTGTTTTGAATACTAACCCCCTGCATTTTTAATACATGATCCGCACGCGGAGCATGTATTAAAAACTGTCCTGTGCAGGGTGTTGTCTTGGAGACGGAAGCTGTTGAGTACAGAGTGGTGCGTGCTACGCGGACGGCGGGCGGACGGCGGGCGGGCGGGCGGGCGGGCGGGCGGCGGGCCTGCCGATCGGGATTAGAATGAACCCCTTACGGATCTTCTCTTGCAGCGAGAGCCTGTTGAGTATTAGGTGTTGTCTTGGAGACGGAAGCTGTTGAGTACAGGGTGTTTCTTGGAGACAGAGGCTGCCCCCTCAAAGTTCATGGAACTTGAAACGAACGGGTTTTTCGGGGAACCGCGCGAAAACGTGGATACTAAGAAAATTGCGCGGGGGGATTTTGAATCGACTATACCCATATATATACATATATATATATACATACATCCATACATCCATCCATCCATCCATCCATCCATCTGTCCATCCATCCACCCATCCAGACCGACCGACCGACTGATATGGCATGGCATGGCATGGCATAGCTTGGCATGACATGAGAAGATATGGCATGGCATGGCTTGGCATGACATTACATTACATTGCGCCGCATTGCGTTACATTACATCACACTACTTGGCATGGCATTGCATCCCATCCCGATACATTCCATTACACACATGTATATGTGTCTACACATGTATCTATCATGGATCCACCATCCACCGCCTGCGGAACTGACGTCTGGGATCCCAGCGGACGGCTGCTATGGATAGTCACGCCACATGGGGGCCCGGATGTGTCCATATCAACCGCCTGCCGAGGTCCCCGAACATCGATCCCCTAGGCGGTGACCGTGGACGAATCCCCGCCTCGGTCTAAAGTCAACCCGTATCACAAGGATGCGCGGTAAGGATGCAAGAACCTCGGAGGGCCATGTTGACGCTTTCGAACGAGGCTGGCCAGCGAACGTCGCTACGGATTGGCCGAACTGGCAAGGATGCAAGGGTACTCCTGGGAAGGTTGCCCATCCTCTCTATGCGGGGGTGACTGCAACCCGGGGGTCAGCACAAACCCCAGGTCCGCCAAGGCCCTGTCGCGACGCCCGGCCAGCCACCCAGCAACTCCCGAGCCCAGGGCAGCGGAGGGGGCCAACGATCGGCCCCACGCGGCTCTCGAATGCCCCGGTCAGCCAGAGGGGACGGGCTGGCCCCCGTCAGCACTGACCCCCGTCCGTCGTGAGCCCCGACGGCCTTGGGGCCGAGGAGCTCCGGGTCCAGGGCGCCGCTCGCGGAGGAGGGAAGAGCGGCACGCGCACAAACTCTCCGAGCTAAGCGCGGGCTTCCCGGAGCGGCCCTGGACCGGGGCGGCGCCGGAGGCGCCGCCAGGTCCGAGGTCCCAGGGCGTAGGAGGAGGAGGAGGAGGAGGAGGAGGAGGAGGAGGAGGAGGAGGAGGAGGAGAAGGAGAGAGGAGGAGGAGGAGGAGGAGGAGGAGGAGGAGGAGGAGGAGGAGGAGGAGGAGGGGGAGGATGGGCGGCGCAGGCACCAGAAATCCGCGCGGAGCTCCGACGGGTCTGGTCCGTGCAGCGCTGCTCTCCTCCGAGCTCGGCTCTCGCAGCAGGGCCCACGCGGCCCGCCGCAGGGCGTAGCGGCAGCAGGACAGCTCGCGGGCGCCGTGGGCGAAGCCCCAGACGTCCGAGGCGTCCTGGGGGCAGAGCCGCGCGGAGGGCGGCTGCGGCAGCGCCTTCAGCAGCTCGCGGAGGGTCTCCACCTCGCCATCGCTCGGACGTCCATTCCCTGTGTTTTTTTCGGTTTCGTGCGTGTTTGTTTCGCCAAATGATCAAGGATGCTCCTCGATGGTCCCCGCCGAGGAAAAAATGCACACGTCCGAGCGATGCCAAGCCACGTCCAGCTGGCACAGGGGGCTCGTCAGCAGCTCGGGCAGCTGCGCGACCAGGCGCTCCTGCATGCGGCGGACGAGGTCCTCTGCCCGGTCCGTCAGCGGGATCAGCACCTGGGGCGACGGAAACTATATGCACATCCACCGCCCCAGGCCTGGCCTATCTTGGGCCCAGGAGCGGTGTGCAGTACAGTCGGGGCGTTGCCCTAAGGAACCCTGTTAAACTTCGATTTCCTATGGAAAACATTAGGGGAATCTAAGGCAAATTGCACAACCATCAAGAAACACCGAGCCCCTCCCCAACGAAAAGGGTTCCTTCTTCAGGGCCCCGACTGTAGGAGCTCGACCATCAGAAACCTCCCACAAGAAACCCAACCCCTGAGACCCCAGGACGTCCATGAACTTTTGGTGTTTGAACGTCACGCCTTCCATTGCAAAACCACCGAAGCCCAGGAAACCCAGGGCACCTTGGAGGCAAGCAGGGTGTTTCTTGGCGTGGGCCTCCACTGTATCGGACCCCATGTCTCTCACGACTGGCGAGACTACAACAGCTTGGATCGAAGTGGCTGCAGAAACAGGACTTCCCACCCGAAGGGCCCTGTTGGTATGAAGGAGAGAGGAGCCTGAGAGGATGAGGAAGAGGACGAGAGGGACGAGGAGGAGGACAAGAAGGACGAGGAGGAGGAGGACGAGGAGGAGGGGGGGGAAAGGGGAGGGAGGAGGAGGATGGCGAGGACGAGGGCGAGGACTTTCCACAGGACTTTCCCAATCAGACGATGTCTGGAAGACGAGGGCGAGGAAGAGGAGGAGGAGGAGGAGGAGGCGGAGGAGGAGGAGGCGGAGAAGGAGTGGGTTTCCACTATATGTACAGACTCCGTCGCCCGGAGCACCGATACGCTGTGCTGCCCGCTGCTCGGGTCGCAGCCGCGGCCCAGCCACACCACGCGGGCGCCCTCCTGCGAGCGCCAGAGCCGCAGCAGCCAGGGGTGATGGGCCTGTCTCCCCCCTACCACTACCATAGCTAGGACGGGGGAGAAGGGAGGATGGGGAGGTCCTCCTCCTCCTCCTCCTCCTCCTCCACCTCCTCGTCCTCCGCGTCCTCCTCCTCCTCCTCCTCCTCCTCGTCCTCGTCCTCGTCCTCGTCCTCCTCCTCCTCCTCCTCCTCCTCCTCCTCCTCCTCCTCCTCCTCCTCCTCCTACCTATGGTAATGGTGGGAGATCGGCCCATCAAGGGGGTGGCCCCGAAGTGGGCCGCCACCGCGTCGACGCGCAGGCCGCGCAGGGCGCCCAGGCTCCTGGACTTAGGTCGGGCGTGTCCCCCCCCACAGGCGGATTTCGGATGACAAATACAATCGGACTTGATTGGAGAGGACACGCGAGAGGACACAAGACCCTTCCGAGGGCCACGCTGCCACGGAAAAGCAGGCGGATTTTGGATGACAAATACAATCGGACTTGATTGGAGAGGACACGCGAGAGGACACGAGACCCTTCCGAGGGCCACGCTGCCACGGCGAAGCAGGAGGCATGGGTCGCAAGACACAGGACACGAGGGCCTTGATTTGGCAGGGTCGACCTACTAATATGGGCCGACTGTAAAGCATAGTCCAAACATAATCAAAAACATCAAACAATAATAAAACAACATCGTCCCAAGGCTATTGGTTGACTCTGTGTGAATCTTCCTCCTATAGAAAGACGTGCCCGGCTTAATCCTGGACAGCAGCCGCGATCCCAGGCCCCTCCGCTGCGCCGCGGGGTGCACGCAGAGCCGCATCATGCGCGCGTACCTGGAAGAGAAACAGCGGCATAAGCATCAGAGAAAGGGGGCCGAAAGGTCATTTCTTATCCCTGGGTGCGTGGGTGCAGCGGGAGTCCGCGGCCCAGATTCTTGTAAATGGGTGCTTGTCGACTTTTGATTCCTAAAGCATGCATTATTTTTGGCCCTCTCCCTCCGGTGCACCTTTGGATTTTCAATTCAAATGCTCCTCCCAGGGCTCGCACCCAGCTTTTGAACAGGGAACGTCCTGGTCCTCAAACTATGTTGTTGGCCCCTGCTTTTCAACAACAACGGCTCCCGCCTGATCTTTCCGCGCAATGTTCTTCAAAATCGCGATCTCGCGCGGGACTGCCCTAGAACGTATACGGGAATCGCGCTCTCGCGCGGCACCTCCTCACAATGTACGGCGACGCCGTGCCGCCAACACTCAGGAATCTCGCTCTCTCTCTCTCTCTCTCTCCTCGTGGCGTACTTGGGAATCGCGCTATCGCGCGAAACTTCCTTGCGAATCATGTTGGATTTACGCTTCAGCGACCCGCCCGTACACCCCCCCCGTGTAAATCTCTCTCGTGTGCCAACCTTCACCCTCCCCCTGGTCAATTGCCTCCTCCTTTCCTCTCCCTGTTTTAAGGGTTGTACCAGATACAAAGAAGAAGTGCCCCCCAAGAAGGGTACGATCAAAGACAAAGAGAGCGGGCTTGCCCGCTTGCTCGCACCATCATGTTTCTTGTACAAAGGAGAGCTGTCTCTTTAGAGTGTGCCCTGGCCACCATGTTATAACGTTATCACCATCACCATTAAAATTATCCCAGTGCGACCCTACCTAGGAGTTGGATCATCTAGGAAAACAACATCTACATCTACACCGACAGCTACGTTAACATCTACACCTGCATCTACAACTACATCAACATCAACAGCGATACTCCCATCTACATCTACATATGCACCTATGATATGATATGATATGCTATGATATGATATGCTATGCCATGCTATGCTATGCTGTATGCTATGCTATGATATGCTATGTTATGATAGGCTGAGCTATGCTATGCTATGCTATGCTATGATATGATGGGCTAGGCTATGCTATGCTGTGCTAGTGCTGCGCTGCGCTATGCTGCGTTGCGCTAAGCTAAGCTAAGGTAAGCTAAGGTATGCTAAGCTAAGCTAAGCTAGGCTAGGCTAGGCTAAGCTAAGCTAAGCTAAGCTAGGCTAGGCTAGGCTAAGCTAAGCTAAGCTAAGCTAAGCTAAGCCAAGCTAAACTAAGCTAATCTAAGCGAAGCTAAGCCTAGCTAAACTAAGTTAAGTTAAATTAAGCTAAGCTATGCCAAGCTAAGCTAATCTAAGCAAAGCTAAACTAAGCTAAGTTAAGCCTAGCTAAGCGAATCTAAGCTAAGCTAAGCCTAGCGAAGCTGAGCTGAGCTGAGCTGAGCTGGGCTAAGCTAAGCTAGGCTAGGCTAAGATAAAATAAGATAAGCTAAGCGAAGCTAAGCTAGGCGAAACTAAGCTAGGCTAAGCTAAGCTAAGCTGAGCTGAGCTAAGCTAAGTTAAGCTAGGCTAAGCTAAGGTGAGATAAGCAACGCCTAGCTAAGGGGGCGCGACTGGGGGAACCGCGGGGCGGGGACTGGGGGAACCGCCCGGGGCGGTTTACACTGCCCGGCCCCTTTAAGCTAAGAGAGTAAGAACCCTCTAGGCAGAGCCTAGGTAGGGAATCATCATCATCATCACATTAATTGTCGTTGTCGTTATCACAGGCAACACCAGTAGCAACAACAACGACAGCACCGCATATAGATGGTTTACTCATAGACGCTCGCGTGCCAGTCAGCACGTATATCCCAGACCCTCGGTGCCCGCCCACTTCGTCTTCGATCGTACCCCAATTGGGGGTATACCTTATTAGCCTGCCACGCGCATGTACTGCAACTCTTAACACCAAAAAGAGACTGATGGAAAGGGGGAGAGAGAAACATGGAGCATGAGAAAACTAACGGCAAGGGGCCAGGAACAGAAAGCACGTAGCAAAACCAAACGGGCAGATCGGGTGGGCAGACCCTAGCGGGCTGGTCGGGAAGGCGGGCCCGCGCGGCCAGGTCGAGCAGGCGGGTGACTAAAGTGTGGGTCATGCATGCATAGCGAGGAAGTCTCGAGCGATAGCGCGGTTCACAAATAAATCGTGAGGAAGGCAAGAGTGGGAGCCGGATTCCTGAGTCTCGAAAGCTCGGGGCCTGGATCCATCGCGAAGAAATACAACGCGAGAGCGCGATTCCTGCATACATTGTGAACAAATCTGCGTTATCGCCCAGCATTTCCTCGCGATTCATGCAGCACTGAATCTTCAACAACCTGCCTGCTCGACCTGGCCGCTGGGTCCGCCTTCCCGACCCGCCCGTTGGAGTCTACCCGCCCGATCTGCCCGCCTGGTTCTGCCACGTGTTTTCTGCTCGTAGCCCCCCTCTCCAGCTCATCCCGTGTTACATCCCTGCCCCTCCCTCCCATCTGTCCTATGTTGCAGATTGTTGTTAGGGTTGTACCATTTACGCGCGACAGGTGAGGAAGATCTACTCCCTGGAGGGTACGATCGAAATCGGAATGGGCGGGTACCGAAGGTGTGGTATATACGTGTTGAATGGCTCGCGAGCAGGTTTGAGCAAACAGGCACAACAAATTGTTGGTGTTGCTGCTGTTGTTGCTGTTCACGGTGGTGGTGATGATGATGTTGTTGTAAAAGTGTTGACCTACGTGTTCAATGGTACGCGAGCATGTAAGGGCGAACCGTATTCGACTGATTGTGGCTGTTGTGGTGGTTGAATCAGCATTGCTATAAAACAAATGTTGTTGATCCCGCCGCCGTGGCACCTGACGTTTTCGATTAAAGAGCTCCTCCGGGGGCTCGCACCCTGCTCTGCAAAAGGAATGCGAACCCTCCTCAAATTTGGTTGTTGGCTGACGAACTACATCGGTAACGGCTCCCGTCTGATACTTCCCCACAATGTATACCAGAACAACACTCTCGTCCGGGACTCCCTCGTAATGTATGCAAGGATCGCGCTCTCGCGTGGGACTTCCTCGTGATTTGTTCAGACTCTGCGCCAGCGACGCTCAGAAATCGCGCTCTCACACGATTGACGTGGGAATCGCGATGCATCGCTCGAGACCTCCTCGCGACTCATGCGAGACCCACGCTTCAACAACCCGCCTGCTCGGCCTGACCGCCTGGGCCCGACTCCCCAACACGCCGATTAGGGTCTACCCGCCCGATCTGCCCGTCTGGTCCTGCCACGTGTTTTCTGCTCAAAGCCCCCTCCTGATTATCTCTCTCAGGTTTCATCCTTTTCCCTCCCCCTTCCATCCTCCCTCTTGGTCCCTGGTTTAAGGGCTGCACCAACCAATTACACGCGGCAGGTAAGGAGGATAGACTCCCAATGGGGTACGATCAAAGACGAAAAGGACGGGTACCGATGGCTTGGGATATAAGTGTGGAAGGGCACCCGAACAGGTAGGAGTGATCAACATTGAATGTATGATCGGTGTTGTTGTTGTCGCTATAATTGTTGGTGTTGTTGTTGGTGTGGTTGGTGTTCTTGATGCTGTTAAAGTTGTTGTTGGTGGTGGTGTTGCTGTTGTTGTGGCTGTTGTTGCTGCTAGCGGTGTTGTTGTGACTGTTGTTGTTGGTGTTGTTGTGCGATGTTGTCGTCGTCCTCATCCGCGACCCTTCCCCGCGAAACGATTCCATAAGGTCCGAGAATTGGCGCCAACACCAAAGCAGGGGGGTGCGTCCATTGGGGGAGGATGATCCTACATTTTGGTACTGGCGGTGATCGTTCGGTCGCCTAGAAAGCCGAATATGGCCACCATCATCGAGATCGAGAACATCTTCCCTCGGTGGAGGCACGCCGCCGATATTGGCTTTGGTGCCAGCCGCCAGGCCTCCGACAAGCATCAACTTTCAGAATTCCGCGCCTCCGACAAGCAAGCATTAACTTTCGGAATTCCGCTGGGAGTTCTTGCATCGGCGCTGGAGCCTCCTGGCGACGCCTTCGGCGCCGCCCCTGGCGCGCTCCGCGCGCCAGGGAGCGACTACCTACCAGATCACCCCAACCCAACCCGAAGACCCGAATTTGACACGAATTTCGGGTTGGAGGGGGTACGGATACCATGTGTTTTTTCAACGTTCCCCGACCCCCCCCCACTGGAAATGGAAGGCAAATTGAGGGCTTCGGGTTGGGTTGGGGTGGCTTGGTGGGTGGTGAGGTGAGGGAGGGGGGGGGGTCCAGGGCCGATCCAGGAAGTCCGCGCGGACACTCGAGAAGCTCAACTGTGGTGATGGAAGTGTTCCTTCCTCGGGTACCGCAGCTCTGCCGCCTGCCGGAAGCCCGCGTCCCTGGCCAGCGTCTGCGCGGTCAGCAGCCCGGGCAGCTTCCGCTGCCGCAGCCACAGCTCCTCCGCGAGCCGCGGGCAGCTCACCGGCTCCTCTGGGAACCACGCGTTTATACACTGAGGTATCTTAGGGAGCACACAAAGGACGTACGCGCCCAGCTATGTACATGAACACGGCCCCTTGACCCGCGAGACCTGCCGCGCGATACGAACATTCGCGCAATGCGAACTCTCGAAACCAGCGTGGATTCATGTACATGTACGTCCTTCTTTCGCTCCTGATATCTGAGCCCTGTCCCACGGGGCTTCGCAGAAACGCCTCAGGACAACGTCTAACGTACCATTCTCCGACTTGCACACCTGGGCGGCAGGTGTTGGATACAACTCTACACGCTGTGCTGGAGCCGCCATTTGCCACTGAATGGTAGACACTCAACATACAGTATAGAAGACGTGGTTCTGGCCCCGATCCTCCACGCCGGAGATGGTAAGGCCGATGCTCTGGGCACCTCTGCGGAGCACGAGCCAGATCACGCCGCGCGCCTCCAGGAAGGTCTCCAGGTCCGAAGGCTTCGTCTTGTAGTGGCCGCACCGGAGCATCCCGAAGAGGCGGCGCAGCTCCAGCGCGCCGCCCTCCCCTGCCAAGGTCGCCTGCTCCACCTGCTCGAGCGCCTCCGCCTCGACTGGGTCGGCAGAGGTGGGCCCTGGCATGGTACAGGGTTGCACCTCTCGTGCAAGGGCGAGGCGTCCCGCTTTGCCCGCAGGCCCACTAAAATGCTCTGAGGACCTGCTGCGGTCTGCACGACGTGTTCTTTTTGGAACAGTTCTGGCCGAGACCGTCTTGCTGGAGGACGTCGGGCCCATGTTCTGGTAACCTTGCTGCTGCTCTCAGACTCAGAACATGACTGGGTTCTGAGAAGATGAAGGGGCCCTGGGACACGCCAAGAAATACACACAGATAACAGGATTCCCATTATTTGCCCATATTTTCGGGGTATTCGTCTTCCCCCCCACTTCCCACATTCTCCCATCTCTTCGGGGGAATCGACGAATAACTGTGTGTGTCTGTGTGTGCTTTCCCTCCTGAGACGATTTCGTAGTAGGCCTACAGGAGTGCCGGGACGGCCCGTCCCCGCCCGCACCTCGTCGGGCTCGGCGTCGAGCAGCAGCACGTCGCGCGCCAGCGCCTCCAGCGGGCAGCCGCTCGCCCAGCGCCAGGGCGCGCGGAGCTCCACCAGCCGCAGCCCGGGCCGCAGGGCCCGCAGGCGCGGCAGCGCGCGCACCAGGAAGCCCTGGCCGCTGCCCTCGCGGCGGGGGGCAGCAGCACGCGGAGGGCCCGGCTCGTCGAGGAGGAGGGAGGAGGAGGAGGAGGAGGAGGAGGAGGAGGAGGAGGAGGAGGAGGAGGAGGAGGAGGAGGAGGAGGAGGAGGAGGAGGAGGAGGAGGAGGAGGAGGAGGAGGAGGAGGAGGAGGGGGGGGAGGGGGAGGAGGAGACCGCGCGTGCGAAGGACACATGGGCTTGGTGACACCTGGGAGCCCCAGCCCGCAGGAGAAGTCTCGAGCGGGGCGCACGGAGACACACAATAATACTATCTGTCCTCCTCGGAGGCGCGCGCCCGATCGTTTCCCGAGCGGTGTGGCCAGAAAGCGCCCGCCACGACGCACATACTACAAGATTTCTCGGTGCGCGCGTCGCCCCTGGGGGGGGGGGGGGACGCACACATAGTGTAAAAATGTTGGAGTGACGCCGATCGAGCGGGAGCCTCGTCTGCGAGCGACCCGCGAGGAGGCCTCGAGCGGGAGACCCCTGCCCCCTACGGGGCCAGCAGACCCTGTTGGCAATCCGAGACGGCCACCCGAAACCCGTGCAAGAACACAGGCTCGGTGACACCGGGAAGCCTGAATCCGGAAGAAGTCTCGAGCGGGATCCAGGATGGGATACGTCGACCCCCGACGTCAGGATTCTTCCATGACGTCGACCCACTAAGGTCTGGACCCCTTCCCGGGGGCCGGTTTTTCAGCACGCATCGTTTCTTCACGGCCCCGCGGCCCCGGGAAGGGCCCCCAGAGGCCGCACATAGGGAACAACCTCCCGGCGCGATATTTCTTCACGACGCGAGGGGGTCTGGGAACCTCCTCTCCCTGAGCCCATGCCCACCACAGGGAGGGGGAGGAGGAGGAGAAGGATGGGGAGGAGGAGGAGGAGGAGGAGCAGGAGGAAAAAAAAAAAAGAGGAGAAGGAGGAGGAGGAGGAGGAGGAGGAGGAGGGAGGGGGGAGGAGGAGGAGGAGGAGGGAAAGAGGAGGAGAAAAGGAGAAAGAGGAGGAGGAGGAGGAGGAGGGGGAGGAGGAGGAGGGAGAAAGAGGAGGAGAAAGAGGAGGAGGAGGAGGAGGAGGAGGAGGAGGAGGAGGAGGAGGAGGATCCCCCCCACTTCTCGCTGACCCCCAGGCCTCGTAGCCGTCCAGCGTGGTGGACAGCACGACGCGCCGCGCGTGGTGCAGCAGCTGGGCCGCGGTGGCCACCGGCAGCCCCGCGGCCTCTCTCGCCGTCGCTCGGACACCCGTGCCCCGTACACGTGTCGACCTCGGGCGCTCATCGTCGTCGAGAACCCAGAGATCCAGCGCACGGGAAAAAATATATCAAGACGGAGGTCTCTCGCCGCTTTCGGCCTCTATATATATGAGGCCCTCGCCAGGCCTCGGGGCCGTCCAGAAACGACTCAGGATGAAAAGCCCGTCCTGGGGAAGGGGTCGAGGCTTCCGGGGACCCCGCACTGACAAAAATCACGACATCGGAACTCTGCGAATTTTTGTTGAGACTGCATGAGCCAAGACGCTCCTCGATGGTCCTCGCCGAGGACGTTGATCCAACATCTTCCTCGATGATGCAAGATCCTCCTGAATGGTCCAAGGTCCTCCTTGATGATCCAAGATGCTTCTCCATGAATGCCCCGTGCATGTTTCGACCTCGTGCGCTGATTTTGTCCTGGAGGCAACTACTAGGAAGTTCTTCGTTGGAAAACAAATTAAAAAAGGATTAAGCCCCAAGGGGGGGGCTGTTACGCCGAATGAGGCCGCGGAATAGGCGGGATTAGGCCGGTTAAGCTGGATTAAGCCGGATTAGACGGTATTAAAGCGGATTAAGTGGGACTTCGGACCAGGGCAAAGTCAGAGTTTAACCTCCCACGAGCTCCATCCTAATTTTCGACCGAGAATGGTCCAAGACCCCGATGGTCCTCGCCGACGACAAAATCCCGGACCCCCCGACGTCGAAATCTTTCCACGACGTCGACCCCCAGGTCTGGACCCCTTCCCCGGGTCCAGGTTCTCATCCTGCCTCGTGTTCGGACGGCCCCGGGGCCCTGCGGGGGCCCCCAGAGGCAGAACATTGCACACCTCCCGTCGCGATGTTTCCACCACGCGAGGGGGGGCGGATACACACGTCCGAGCGGTGCCAAGGCCTCGTCGACGAGGAGGAAGTGCGCCGCCCGCAGCTGCGCCGCGCCCGCGGCGGTGAGCAGCGCCGCGGGCTCCACGAACTGCAGGTGCCCCCGCCGCCCGGCGCGGAGCTCGAAGGGGCCCTTTCGCACTGCCCGCCCCTCCGGGCAGAAGAAGAGAAGACACACACACGAACGAGGGCGCGCCACCGGATCCCCCCCGAAACGACACGGGGCGGGGGGGGTCGGATCCCCCCCCTTCCCCCAGTCCGTCGTCCCGAGCCCCCCCCCCCCTTCCCGATCCATCGTCCCGGACACCCTGACCCAGACACCCTATCCCGAACACTCTAACCCGAACCTGAGACCCCCTGACCCTGAACCCTGACACCCTCTCCCCAACCCTGATCCCAACCATGCCGCCCTCATCCCTAAGCCCGACCGCTAACATCCCAAACGGGCCCGGGTCCCAACCCTAGAACCCTACCCCTGATACACTGGCCCTAACACCCTAACCCAAACACCCTAACCCTTGCACCCTAACCCCAACACCCAAAACGAAACACCCTACACCTAACCCTAACCTTACCGCCCGAACCCTGACCCTACTACCCTAACCCTAACACCCTATCCCAAACACCCTAACCGTGTCACCCTATGCCGAACACTCTTACCCTAACGCCCTAACCCGAACTTGTACCGCCCTAGCCCGAACATCCAACCCTGACACCCTGCACATACATAGCCCTAAAAGCAAATTACGGCCCCCAACGGCCTAACCCTGAACACTACCGCCCGCACTCTACCGCCCTGACCCAAACACCCTGGCCCGAACCCTACCGCACTAAACCGTACGCCCTAAGCCCCGAACCCTCACATATTGATCTACCACCCTACCCCGACCTAGCCCTAACACCCCACTCCGAAACCTACCGCCCTTTCCATAACCCTTCCGCCCTCACCCTAACACCCTGACCCGAACCCTACCGCCCTAAGCCCGCAGCCATAAACCTTAAAACCCAGGTCGTATGGCCTAGGACCTTTGCAAATAAGCCCAAAGCCGTAAGACATAAGCCAGAAGCCCAAAACCATCAGCTCTTACCCCTAAGGCCTACGGCCTAAGGCCCAAGCTTTAAACCCTAAGCTCTAAGCCCTATGCCGCATGCCCTAACCTCTCAGCCCTAAGCCCTAACCTTAAGCCCTAAACTCACCACTCTACGCCCCAAGCCGAAAATCCTGATCCTGAAACCGTGAGCCCTAACACCCCCACCCTACCACCCTAGCCCTAACACCCCACTCCGAACACTACCGCCCTCACCATAACCCTACCGCCGTCGCCCTGGCACCCTGACCCAAACACCCTGACCCAAACCCTACCGCCCTGAGCCCTAAGCCCTATGCCCTGGACCCTTAAGTCCCAAGCCCGGAGCCATACGCCCAGAGCCCAAAGCCCTAACACCCCGACCCTAAGCTTTGGATCCTAAGCCCGAAGCCCTGAGCCCGAATCCCCAAGCTGTAAGGCCCAAGGCTCCAGGCCTTTAAGCCCTAAGCCTTCAGCCCTAAGCCCCAACCGCTGAGCTCGAAGCCCTAGGCCTCATGTCCTGAACAAGCCCTGAGCCCTGAGCCCTAAGCCCTCATCCCTAAGCCCTGACTGAGCTCCAAGCACTGAGCCCTAAGCCCTAAACTCTAACTCTTCGGAACGAAGCTCGGAAGCTCTAAATTCTAAGCCCTTGGTCCTATGTTCTGAGCCGCATGCCCTGAGCTCTGAGGCTTCAGCTCGAAGCTCCGAAGCTTCAAGCTCTGCGCCCCAAATTCTGAGCACTGAGCCCCAAACTCGAACACCCAAAGCCCCCTCTCTGGCGCAATCCTCCCCCCTCCTCCTCCTGCTCCTCCTGCTCCTCCTGCTCATCCTGCTCCTCCTCCTGCTCCTCCTCCGCCTCCTCCCCTTCGCGGCGCAAAAGGGGGGGAGGGGGAAGGAGTTCGAGACCCCTCCTCCCCCCCTTCCACGGGAGGGGATTCGGGTCCGAACGCTCTCCCCGACCCACCCACCCCTCGACGGGGTGGGTGGGTGGAGGCCATGGGAGCGCTTTCCTTTGTCTCCGCTGGAGGGGGATCCTCGCGCGATCTCTCCAGAGAGCTATACTTAGACACTTTCGGAGCTCCGCGCGGGCTTTCTCTGGAGCGGACCGGAGACCCACCTTGACGGCGCCTCGCTTTCCAGCGCCGCAGCCGCGCCGCTCCAGAGAAGGTCCGCGCGGAGCTGCGAAAGTTTATGTCCACTATGTTTTCTCTTCTTCCAGCTGGGCCCAGGTACCTGGGGAGACCAACAGGTTTGGGGCTCAAGAGATGGGGGTCAATCCAAACGGGGGTCAGCCAGAGTGCTGGATCTTGCAAGATCTTGGAAGATCCTGCAGGGACAGGGTCGCATTGACCCCGGTTTGGGTGCAGGATCCTGCAGGATCCTTCGCACTGACCCGGGCCTGGGTGCAAGATGTTGCAGGATCTTGCAGGATTCTGCAACGCCTGACTTACCCGGGTCTGGATTGACCCGGGTCAGAAGATCCCCGAAAGGTGCCCCCGCGGACCTCTCCCGGGGTGCGTTCTGACCAGGATTCCGAGGGCGAATCCAGCGGTGTCGACGAAAGCCCCCCAGAGGATGCCCGCCAGAAGGGGAAACGGGCGAAGGGTAGAGAGACATGGGTACTACCTTTCCCTTCCCTGAGCTTGTTCTTCCTCCATCTGGGCCCAGGCACCTCTCCGCAGCCTCGAAGAGCTGCCAGGTGGCGCTGCGGGAGGGCGACGTGACGATGACGTGGCCGCCGCTTCTCTGCAGCAGCACCGCGGCCGCCATGCCCAGCGCCGCCGACTTGCCGCGCCCACGGCGCCCCACCACCACCAGCGGGCTCCGCGCGTGCGTAGCGATCAGAGGAACCAAAAACGGCGCAAAGTACGCCACGAACATATAAATGAAGAAATCGACTTGTGTATGTGTGTGTATAAATATATGTATGTATGTGTATATATATATATATGTATATGTATATACAGATACCCTCTGGAGAGCTTTGCATGTGCCTTCAGGGAGGGGACGGTATGGAAAGTCGCTGGCTCCCAGTGGTGATTTACACACCGCCGCCCTCCCCTGAGGCCCAGGAGCAATCCAGTGGAGGGTGCCCGTGTATACTTTCTTCGTGGCGGACACAAGGTAAACTCTCGGCGCTCCGCGCGGAGGGATGTCTGCAAGCAAGTGGGCCCCAAAGGTGTCCGATACCCCGGCGCCGGCCGGACCCGTGCCGGGGGAGGGCCCGCGGGTGTTCGCAGAGGGCGGGCCCGGAACCGCTCCAGGAAGCCCGCGCGGAGCTCCGAAAACTCACGCGGAAGAAGAAACACCGCCGCGGATATGCAATCGGTCCGGATCAGTAGGATGCGCGGCAGGGATGCAAGGGCCCTGGAGGGCCATGCTAACAGTTTTCAAACGAGGTTGGCCAGCGAGAGTCGGTGAGGATGGGCCGAAGGGGCAAGGATGCAAGGGTGCCCTCGGGCAGGCTGCCCACCCATATGCGGGTGGTCTGTGTGCCCTTGTCTGTTGCTCGGATGTCTGGGGAGGGACGACGCGAACGCGTCTGGGGACGAAGGGCGGAGGGAGCAGGAGGAGGAGGAGGAGTAGGGGAGGGAGGGATGATGGAAGAGGGACGACGGAGGAGGGAGGATGGATGGGCCGAAGCGGCAAGGGTGCAAGGGTACCCTTAGGAAGGTTGCCTATCCTTACGATGCGGGTTGGCACAAACTCTTGGCGCTCCGCGCTGATGTCTCGGATCTGCGCTGCCCCCCCTGGCGAGTTTTATGTTTCGGGGGCGCCCATCGCAGATCCTCCAGATCCGAGCGGAGCGCCAAAAGTTTGTATGCCTCGGGGCGGCCCAGCGCATATCCAAGAAATCCGCGCGGAGCGCCAAACACGTTTATGTGTTTGTTTGTATGGCGCTGCTTCTTTTCGATTGCGCTTAGGTCGGGCATGTCCTCCTACAGGCGGATGTTGGAAGACAAGTACAAGCATATCCAATACTACTCAGAAAAAACCAAACACTGGCACGAACACAAATCGTCACCAGACTGTTATGTTTGTACTCTTCTTGAATACTCCTCCTGCAGAGGGACATGCCCGACTTCAGATTACGCCCATGCCCTCTTTTCGCTCCTCGAGCGATGGCGCTCCGCGCGGATTTCTTGGATTTGCGCCGGGCGATCCCGAGACATGAACTCGACAGGGGGGGGGGGGGCCAGCGCAGATCCGAGAACTCCCTGCGGAGCGCCGACAGAATTCGTGATTTGCGTGGCGCCGTTTCTTCTTCGACTGCCCCCCTGCCCTCTTTCCGCTCCTCGGGCGATGGCGCCCTCCAGGACCCGCCGCTGCTCCGCGCTCGGGCGCAGCGGCCCCCCCGCGGCCGCCCCCCGACCATCGGCGGGCGGCGAGGGCCCGATGCCCGCCAGCCCCGCGGGCTCCGCCCCGCCACCCGCGCCCTCGCGAGGGGCAGCGATCGGGAGAGGAGGAGGAGGAGGAGGAGGAGGAGGAGGAGGAGGAGGAGG